CCCTGATCTTCAACCTCCTTGAATGTCATGAGCCAGCTGTAACTGGGGGCATAAATATATCTTACGAAGCCTCTGGTTTGTAGAGGGAGTGATACCATCACTGAGGACACATCAGCCTGTAAATTACATCATCCATCTCTCTCTGATGAGGGAAAATGAGACACCTTCCTGATTCATGAATTTGGTGGTTTTCAGACCACAGTAAAGTATAAGCTGTGTTTCACCTGAGCACTCCATCACAGGCCAAGGACACAGGGCAGAGTCTCTGGAATGCAGCCCACTTTCCTTCCCTTCCCACACTACTTAAAAGCTGATTCCATTTTGGGCGTATCCCTGCAGGCTCAGGGCGTGACCCAGCCCCACTTTACACCTGATTCTGAATACACCAGTCGTGGACTGGACTGATGGGGCTCAGGCTCTCCCAGGACTTTAGGAAGAAGGCAAAAGCTTAGAAGACCACAGTGGGCACAGGTGAGCTCCCAGTACATGCCCCAGGACTGCATCCAGGAGTGGGCAGGTCTTTCCCGTCTCAGACAGCCAGACATGAGCCAGCCCTACAGGAGCACCCAGACCTCAGAGGCATCAGAACAGCCCTGTGCTCACATCAGGCCCCGAGTCTCCCTGAGGTTTGTAATTAACTCCTGGGGGGAATAGGCGTGGTCTGCTTTGTAAGGGACCTTGGCATGAAGCTGAAGGAAATACATCATATTGTCATCACTGTAATATTACAGGAATTGCAGCTGCTGAANAGGACGTGATGGGACTGTATGCTGCCCTTCTACAGTACACAACTAAGGAACCAGGCAAAACCTGTGAAACCACTTATTCAGACTCTGGCACAAGCAATGCAGGACCGTAATTGAGGAGAGCAGAAATCAGGTGAGGTGAGGGACTTCCCCGGCTGTCTGGGGCTGGGATTCTGTGTTCCCAGCTCAGGGCGCCTGGGTCCATCCCTGGTCAGGGAACTAGATCCCACATGCTTCAGCTAGATTCTGCCTGCTGTGATTAAGTTCCAAGGTAGACAAATTAATGAATTAGCTAATTAAATTGTAAAAATATCTGTGCTCAACCATTTAAGAAAAAAGAAAACAAAACAAGTGAAGTGAGACTTAAGACATCTCCAGCCTCTACAGATTTCCAGGCCTAAAGCATAGGGAACAAGAACCCAAACAGACCAACAATTCTTCTGAGTTGAAGAGAGTGGGGGTCAAAGTTCAGAGAGTGCAGACATCTTCACTTCTGGACAGAAAACCAGCAACAGCGTCAGAAGCAGGGGTGTGTGCCTGTGTGCTAAGTCGCTTCAGTTGTGTCCAAGTCTTTGCCACTCTGTGGACTGTGGAGTTGCTGAAATCATAGGGGAAAACTGTGCTTTTCATTCAATTTTAAAACTACTATAAAAAAATGAAGTCTATGATACTAGATGGAATTTTGGTTCAGCCTTATGGGATAAATTCTGATGCTAAGATTCTAGCCACTATCTTAAGGAAACAGGTGATCATTTCAGTAAAAACAACAACAACAGAAAAAAGAAATAAATAGCAATTATCTATTTAAAAAAACTCACTTAAGATATCAAATATAAAGACAAATGGATTTAAAGTGAAAGGATGGAAACAGATATGCTGCTGCTATTGTGTAGACGTTCAATCTTGTCCAACACTCTTGTGACCCCTATGGAATCATCCAGGCAAGGTTACTGCACCGGGTTGCCATACCCTCCTTCAAGGAATCTTCCCCACCCAGGGATCAAAACCATGTCTCTGCATCTCCTACACCTCAGGAGATTCTTCACTGTTGAGACAACAGATATGCTATGGAAACATTAATTTAAAGAAAACATAGGAGGCTGTATTGGTTAATTGACAGGCTTCCTGGTGGCTCAGATGGTAAAGAATCTACCTACCATGTGGGAGACCTGGGTTCGATTCCTGGTTTGGGAAGATGCCCTGGAGGAGGGCATGGCAACCAACTCCAGTGTTCTTTGCCTGGAGAATCCCCATGGACAGAGGAGCCTGGCATGCTACAGTCTATGGGGTCACGAAGGGTCAGACACGACTGAGTGACTAAGCATGGCACACAATCAAGTAACTTTTAGAACAAGGACCAGACATAGAGAGGGGTATTTATCCTAATGATAAAATGTGTAAGTCATCAAGAATACATATGAATACTGAATCAGAATGTACTTAGCAAAGGAAGTTTAAAATTCTTAAAGAAAACTTATAGGAATAAGCAGAGAAACAGACAAATTAGCAATTACAACTGGAATTTCCCTGGCAATCCAGTGGTTCAGATCCCTAGCTTTCAATGCAGGGGGCACAGGTTCATCCCTGGTTGAGCAAGTAAGATCTCTTATATCATATACAAAATTAAACCCAAGATAGATTAAAGGTTTATAAAAACCACACAACTCCTAAAAGAAAGCATAGGAGAAAAGTTCTTTGGCATGGGTCTCCACAAGGATGGTTTTGAGCTTGACACCAAAAGCACAAGCCACAAAAACAAAGCTAGACGGTAGGATCCATCAAACTGAAAGCTTCTGCACAGCAAAGGAAACAATGAACAACCTGAAAAGACAGTGTTCTTTTAACGCTCCAGGGATCTCTGAGTCTGGAGGAGATGGCAGCAGTGCTGCGGGCAAGAGAGTGGGGTGAGAGAGGATGGTCACATCGCAGGTCATGTCTGAGTCCCTGGGATGGTCACCAGGTGTGGGTACTTGCCTTCACATAGGCAGGAATTCAAGAGCGAGTCACAGTGAAGTGAAAGAAGGTCAATCCAGGGAGGAAACATGTTACACAGAGAGCCTTGGCCATCCTGGAAGGCAAGCCCAGCACCAGGGTATGGGGCTGTCAGGGTTTATGGTGGGGGGGGTTATTTCATAGGCTGATGAGTGGGAGGAGTGTGCCAGCTATTTTGTGGAAAGAGTGGGGATTTCCAGGAACTGGGTCAGCACCCACTTTTTGACCTTTATGACCAGGCGTGTAACTGTCATGGTGCCTCTGGGTGTGTCACCTAGCTGCCCTGTCACAAAGGGATTTAAAAAAAATATTTGCTTCAGGTCTTAGTTGCGGTATGCAGGACGTGCATCTCAGCACACTGCTTTAGTTACCCCATGATAAGTGGAGAAGGAAATGGCAGCCCACTCCAGTATTCTTGCCTGGAAAATTCCATGGACGGAGGAGCCTGGTGGGCCAAGGTCCATGGGGGTGGCAAAGAGTTCGACACAACTGAGCGACCTCACTTTCTTTCTTTCACGTGGAATCCTAGTTCCCAGGCCAGGGACTGAACCCACATCCCCTGCGTTGCAAGGCAGATTCTTACCACTGGACCACCAGGGAAGTCCCTGTCATTCTTTAAGAGGTTGTGCCCCACCTACTTCCGGTCTCATTAGCACCTGAAAGCTGGCCTTTGACAGTGCTATGGGAGCTCTTGCCTTACAGGAGAATGTCCAGGCGAAGTTCTCAGGATGCTGTGCTGACTGCAGGTAGCAGGCAGGACCCTGTGAAGAGAGGCTGATTTTGCTCCGAGTTACACCACTGCCACTTAGCTTGCTGAGGCCTTGGACACACCTTTTTGTTGGATTTGCAGCCAATTTTAATTGACTTTTTAAGTCATTTTGCCTGTGGCCTCAGACATGGCTTTCTAATCCTCAGGACCATCTTGTATAAAACTTGGGTCATACCTATGTGGCGGGTTTGTTTAGGGGAACTCAAAGAGATAACTTGAATACAAGTGGCCAGCTACTGAGCAAGGCTCATTGCAAAATATAAGTGTGGGACAAGCTCAAAGAAAAAACTGCTAAAAGTGTCAGTGGGGGAGCACAGCATTAGACCCAGCCTTGGTCCCCTTCTGAGGACAGGTCCCCACATTACCATCAGAAGCCATGGCGCCCACCCCATCCACAGGAGAAGGGAACTGGGAACACCAGCCTCTGTCCATTAACACCCAGGGCTCCGTGCTGACAACACCTGTCTTTGTGGAGTCGTAGATGTGAAGGGCTTTGCTCTTCAAAACCTTATCTATAGGACTGGGACACCCCTTCTTGCCTGAGGAACTGAGGCGCTTTGCTGGAAAGACCCTGCCTCCATTTCCTACTCACAGGTTAAAGGTTTGGGGACATAGCATTTATCTTCCCTTTAAAGAATGAGACCCTGAGTTACCTCTCAGCTCAGGCATAAAGCAACCATGATCTACATGGCCTTGTTTGGCTTTGAACCTGTGAAAACTAAGGATTCATTAACCATTCCCTCTATCCTATGTTAACTCATCTCTGGTTTCTGGTGAGCCACCCCATGGTTTCTTGGGTGTGTGACCTCCTAGCTGAAGGAACAGGACCCTTCCCTGATGAACAGAGATGCCCCTGGGCATTATCTCCAGGATTAACATAGCTGCAAAGGAGTCATCTTTAGACCTTGCCTAGGAAAAATAAGTCGCTGCAATTGTAGAGTTCCTGACAAGGGCCGTGTCCCACTGTGAGGAACCATGGCAAGAAACTCCCTTGAAACTCACCATGGCACCCTGAGCAGCCTTTTGGAAACTCCCTTCTATGAAAAGTCATGCCTGGTCTTGCACATAAAACTGCATCATCAGCTTTCTTAAAAGAAAAAAAAAAAAAACCTCTTTGTGCTGCAAACCATAGATCTTTAAAACACACAAATTGTTATTTTATTTCTTTATTTAGGCTGCACCAGGTTGTAGTTGTGGCATGTGGGATCTAGTTCTCTGACCTGCTATACTTGGGAGTACAGAGACTTATCCACTGGACCATCAAGGAAGTCCTGTAAAAAACAGCATTTTTCTAAATCACTTTTTCAAAAAAACTTTGAATTGGAATATAGCTGATTAATAATATTCTGATAGTTTCAGGTGGACAGCAAAGAAACTCAGCCATGCATATGCATGTATCCATTCTCCTCCAAACACCCTTCCCATCCAATAACAACAAATAATCTGCTCCCATTAAGCAGAGTTCCCTGAAAAGCAACATTTTCCATGAAGAGACACAATAGACAATGATTCAGTCTCACTTCTTTCTACACTATAGTGTAGTACTATAGCATGTATCTAAATTGACCCTGTAGTATAGATTTTTTCCTGCAAGGTCTATAAATAAACAGATACATATATACAGATACATATACAGCTTCATTAGCATAAGAGTGACTGATCCTGCTTTGCGCTATAAAGGCCACTCCCAGGACACACAGAAAGAGACTCAGTTAACCAGTTCATAAGAACCAAATCCACAGCCAGCGCGGAATTCCTCCCGGAACCTGGGACCTTCATAAAGCGGCAAGCGCAGCCTCTTCTCCAGCATCAGCCCCAGAGCTCCGGCCGCCAGCATGAGGCTCCATCACCTGCTGCTCGCGCTCCTCTTCCTGGTCCTGTCTGCTGGGTCAGGTGAGCTCGTGGGAGCCCCAGGGGGAGCCGCGGGCTCTCTCTCCTGTTTCTACCCCCTTCTGTCTTGCTACCCTCAGCTACACGGGGTCAGACTAAACCCACCATATGTGATGCTTCTGAGAAGCCAGCGCTGAGTCCTTAGTAGCGGGAGGGGTCTGAGAACCGCCCTGCAAAGTTCCTGGCTGTTTCTAAGCCACTCTAGCGAGTCAGAGCTTCTGAGCCCGTCTCCTCATTGATGAGGAGGAAACAGAAGATGCCTCTGTTGAGTGACTCTCCTTTTTTCTTTTTCATTAAAGCAAGAAAAGGCCGCTGGTCAGGAGGAAACCACAAAGGGATGAGGAGAGCCTGTGAGGAAAGCGGGAAGGCCATTGGTCTGGACGAAACCAGAAGGGGAAGAGGAGAGCGTGTGAGGAAAGCGGGAAGGCCATTTGTCGGGAGGAAACCACAGAGGGATTAGGAGAGCGTGTGAGGAAAGCTGGAAGGCCGCTGATCCGGAGGAAACCACAGAGGGATGAGGAGAGCCTGTGAGGAAAGCTGGAGGACACTTGTTGGGAGGAAACCACAGAGGGATGAGGAGAGCCTGTGAGGAAAGTGGGAGGACACTTGTTGGGAGGAAACCACAGAGGGATGAGGAGAGCCTGTGAGGAAAGCTGGAGGACACTTGTTGGGAGGAAACCACAGAGGGATGAGGAGAGCCTGTGAGGAAAGTGGGAGGACACTTGTTGGGAGGAAACCACAGAGGGATGAGGAGAGCCTGTGAGGAAAGCTGGAGGACACTTGTTGGGAGGAAACCACAGAGGGATGAGGAGAGCCTGTGAGGAAAGCGGGAAGGCCGTTTGTCGGGAGGAAACCACAGAGGGATGAGGAGAGCCTGTGAGGAAAGCTGGAGGACACTTGTCGGGAGGAAACCACAAAGGGATGAGGAGAGCCTGTGAGGAAAGTGGGTAGGCTGCTGGTCAGGAGGAAACCACAAAGGGAGGAGGAGAGGGGCTGACTCGCTCCAGCGCTGAGAGCTCTGAGTCAGTAGAGACAATGATACAAAACTTTTTTTTCCGAACCATTGTCACTCTCAGTTGTAACTTACTTTGAGAGTAAGTTCTCTTTAAACACTTCTTACACTGTCAGCTGCATCTTTTCCTCCTATCTAAGCTCCACTACTTGACTGACTCCATGAGTCGGAAAACTACAGTGAAAATAGACGCCCGCGGGCCTCTTCTGACTCCTGGCCGGAAGGTGGATGTAGCCGAGCTTCCGGGTCTTTGCCCTCGAAGTGGAGCTGACCCCGCACACAGCCGAGCTCCTCACGCCCCAGTCCCTCAGCCTCCGCTTCTGGAAACGTGAGGGCCCACCGGGGCCCGAGCAGGGCCAGCGTCTGTCTGGAAACTGGTCCACGGTGTCCTGGACTCACATCCTGCTGTCACGAGGCCGTGTCCGCGTCTCAGCACAGAAGGCCCCAGGGCCTCGCTCAGAGGCCACACAGCTGCCCTTCTCGAGATGCTGCTTTTCCTGCTGACACCTTCTTTCCCTCTTCGGTCTCTTTTTAGGATTTAGTCAAGGAATAAGAAGTGGTATAAGCTGCCGTTTGAATAGAGGCATCTGTGTGCCGAATGGGTGCCCTGGAAGCCTGAGACAGATTGGCATGTGTTTCTGGCCCCGAGTAAAATGCTGCAGAAGGAGATAAAAGAAGGTGAAGAGGTGGCCAGGACCGATGCAGAGTCAGAAACTGCACCCTTCGACAGAACATCTAAAATTGAAACCAGAATAAATTTTGTTCAAAATTAAAGAATTTCCCACTGCTGTTGTTGTGTGGTGTCTGATCCCAGGCGCATTCCAAAATCCCTGAGGATGCTCTCTGAGCTCCTTACCGGAACCATCGGGGGATCATAGTGGGTGCTCTGAAACCCCTGTTCCTTGGGGGCCTGACCTTCCCCAGCCCCTCTATCTGCTGTCCTTCCTGCTTCCTGGCTCAGGGCACCCTGACCTGCCCCTCGTCTCCCCTCAAACATGCACCCCAGGGATCCAGAATCACCAGAACACCAGGTCCGTAGGAAAGCCCGACCCCTGCTCGGGAGGAAACCCCCTCTTCTGTCCCCCAGCAGCCCTCACTTCTGTTTGGTTTATGCTTCTTACCCCTGCCTTGTGCACACCTGGATACACTTCCAATTCCCTTTTGGGCCATAAGGTCTCTATAGGCATGGACTTGTCCTACTCCTGGATGTGCCGGGCATTGAGCCGAGACATAGCTTCACAAACTGTCATCAGTTGAATGACACAATTGACATGGACAAAGCATATCTCTCTGTGTGGACATGATACGATGCAACTAAATGCGAGGGAGAAACAAGTCCTATGGAAGCACAGTTCAGTGAAGACAACACAGCATGAACACAGAGCCCGCCAGGGCAGGCTGAGCACACGGACCTCAGCCTGCCTGCAGTTTCTTCAGAGGGTTTGCCAGTTAAACCAAGAGCCTGGCTGGTGCAGGCGGTATGTGTGAGAAGCTCTCTGGTCTTCACACTAACTCTTCCCGCAGTGCAAGCTGAGGTCACCAAGGGGATGGTGTTAGGAGGCAGGGCCTTTGGGAGGCGATTTGGTCATGAGGGTGGGACCCTCCTGGGTGGAATCACGCCTTTATGAAAGAGGCCCAGAGCGATCGCTCACCCTTGTGCCCTCTGAGGACACAGGGAGAAGACCGCCGTCCCCCAGCCACCTGCTCTGTCTTGGTCCTGGAGCTCCCAGCCTCCAAAACTGAGAGGTAGAGTCTGTTGTTAATAAGCCACCTATTGCAATACCACATGTAAAACAGAGCGCCAGCGGGAGTTAGCTGTATGATCAGGGAACTCTGACAGGGGCTCTGCGACCAGCTGGAAGGGTGGGATGGGGAAGGAGATGGGACGAAGCTTCGGGAGGGAGGGGACATGGTGAACCCGTGGATGATTCTTGTTGATGTATGACAGAAAAGCTTGAAATTCTGTAAAGCAATCATCTTTCAATTAAACAATAAAGTGCAGAAAAAGAGTCACCTAGCCTTTGGTGTTTCTGCTTTAGTAGCCTGAAAGGGCAGACACATGACAAGTGAGAATTCCAGCACAGGTGGAATTATGGTACCTAGTCATTGACCCTTAAGATAGGGAAATGACATGGATTAACTGACTGTGCCCAATGCCATCTCCTTACAAGGAGCCTTAGATGCGTACGAGGGATGCAGCTCAGTGTCAGAGAGATGTGCGCTGAGAGACTAAACCAGCCTCGGCTCGCACAGACATGGAGGGGGGCCATAAGCCAAGGAGGGCAAGCAGCTTCTAAGCGTGAAAAGGAAGGAAGTCTGCAGAAGGAACACCATCCTGCTGACACCGTGATTTGAAGCCAGCGAGACCCATTTGGGACCTCGGAGCCTCAGAACCACAATAACAAGTATGTGTTCCTTTAAGCCACTTAGCTGGTGGCAATTTGCTAAGCTGCAACAGGAAATCAATACAGCAATCGCTTAAAATCATGCCTTGAGCCTAAAATTAGGAGCCCAAAAGAGACAAACCTGTGTGTGTTTAATGGAGGAAAAAAACAATAACAGCTGTCAATGTTTTGCTCAGCTTTATATTTCTTCTTTCACAGAAATGCCCATGGTTCGTCTGCCAACCATTTTTCATCTCAAAGTTTATATTTGGGACTAAGTCTTACACCTCATATACCTTATATCTCTTTTATCCTTTATTTTTAATTTTTTTTATCATGGAAAGTTTATCTGATATTGAGTGTGGTTAGGTAGTACTGTTTATGAAACTTTTATCATATTCTTTATTGGGATTTCAATTTTTAATTTTTGCTTAACTTTTAAAGTTTTATTCTAAATGTATCTGCTGATGTTTTATTGCCATAACATTTCTGAGCGTCATGCTGGACTCCTTCGTGGGAGGAATGCTCTTCTCATTTCAGTACCAAGAAGAGGATGGCTTCTCCGTGTGACTCATGAACCAAACAGGCTGTGCTCTGGTCCATAGCCAAGCTTTCCTGAGTCCTGGATCTCATTTTTTTGCTTGCTTGTGGGTGAGGCCCAAATCAGCTCCACCTCTTGCTGCCATCTACTCAATCTATGGTGAATGCAATGACAACCCACTCCAGTACTCTTGCCTGGAAAATCCCATGGACGGAGGAGCCTGGTAGGCTGCAGTCTGTGGGGTCGCTGGGAGTCAGACACGACTGAGCGACTTCACCTTCACTTTTCACTTTCATGCACAGAAGAAGGAAATGCAACCCACTCCAGTGTTTTTGGCTGGGAAAACCCAGGGACAGGGGAGCCTGATGGGCTGCCGCCTATGGGTCCCACCGAGTCGGACACGACTGAAGTGACTTAGCAACAGTAGCACTGCATCTATACAAACTAAAAGCAGGGATTTACCCGGCAGTCCAGTGGTTAAAGACTTCATGCTGCCAGTGCAGGGGGCTGGATTCCATCCCTGGTTGTGGAACTAAGATTCCACATGCTAAAGAAGAGGCCAAAAGTTCCAAAACAGAAAAAAAAAAAAAACACCCGCAAAAGCCAGTGTTTAAAAAAAAAACAAAAAACCTAAAAAAATGAAACAGTTCTTCTTTGACATGATAGCAATCATGAGCTGGGTCTTCCTTGCACTTAGTTTTTCAGAAAAACTCTTCAGAAGGAGTGTCTGCAGCCCCACTTCCTCTCATCATTCTCAGGGGGGTTGGTACCATCAAGTCTGGCTGGTCCCAGCCCTCTCCCCCAGGATGACTCCTGCCAACAGGGATCACGAGGCATCCTGTGTTCTTGGTGGTGGCATTGGCTGGATGGGGGGCAGGTGAGGTAGTCTGGGAGGAGTTATTTGAAGGTGTTGCAACAGTTGTTTGATTTGAGTAAGTCTGCGTAGGTAACACCAGCGCCAGCAGCAGCAGCCCCAGTCCGAGCCTGGCTACTATCGCTCTCGCCATGTCCGCTCTGTCGGTGCGCAGCGCGTCTCGCTAGATTGCAGGGTGCCGAAGTACCGCTGGCGGGGTGCAGGCAAGGTCGTCGTGTTGGACTCTTGCGTGGGAGGAATGCTCTTCTCATTTCAGAATGAGGAAGGCTTTTCTATGTGACTCATGAACCAAAGAGGTTCTTGCTCTGGTCCATAGCCAACCTTTCCACCTGAGTCCTGGATTCATTTCTCTTGCTTACTTGTGGGTGAGGCCCAAATGAGCTCCACCTCTTGCCTCCGTCTACTCAATCGATGGCAAATGCAATGGCACCCCACTCCAGTACTCTTGCCTGGAAAATCCCATGGACGGAGGAGCCTGGTAGGCTGCAGTCTGTGGGGTCGCTGGGAGTCGGACACGACTGAGCGACTTCACCTTCACTTTTCACTTTCATGCCCAGGAGAAGGAAATGGCAGCCCACTCCAGTGTTCTTGGCTGGGAAAACCCAGGGACGGGGGAGCCTGCTGGGCTGCCGCCTATGGGTCCCACAGAGTCGGACACGAATGAAGTGACTTAGCAGCAGTAGCACTGCATCTATACAAACTAAAAGCAGAGATTTACCCGGCAGTCCAGTGGTTAAAGACTTCATGCTGCCAGTGCAGGGGGCTGGATTCCATCCCTGGTTGTGGAACTAAGATTCCACATGCTAAAGAAGAGGCCAAAAGTTCCAAAACAGACAAAAAAAAAAACACCCGCAAAAACCAGTGTTTAAGAAAAACAAAAACTTAAAATAACGAAGCAGTTCTTCATTGACATGATAGCAATCATCAGCTCAGTCTTCTTTGCACTTAGTTTTTCAGCAAAACTCTTCAGAAGGAGTGTCTGCAGCCACACTTCCTCTCATCACTCTCAGGGGGGTTGGTACCATCAACTCTGGCTGGTCCCACCCCTCTCCCCCAGGATGACTCCTGCCAACAGGGATCACGAGGCATCCTGTGTGAGCTCACTCAGCCCTTCCTCTGCCCTTTGTTGACCTGCCCCTCATTGTGTGGCAATGGACAGGGGCTCTCGGGTGTCTCTGCCTGAGTGGACGGGCCACAGTCCACCTGAGAAGGGCGGAGGAGCCAACTCTAAGGTAGGTTTTCAGGAGAGAGAGAGAGAGAGACAGCAGTGGTTGAAGAAGGGGTGGGAATAAATGCCTAACATTTAGGGAGTCACTGTAAAGGATCGCTTTCCGTATAAGAGTACAAGAGAGAAATGTGGCCCAGTGCTTTTAGTTTATGCTTTCTTTTCTATTATTATAAAAGTACTGTTGCTGGGGCCAACGAAGTAAAACCCTTACAGATATTCTGTAGAATTAGGTAAGACTTATTGAAACAGCTTACTGCAAACACTCATTCTATTTTTAGGTTGAGGTCACTAAACTAAAATAGATCTCTACTTAGTGAAAGATTCAAATGCTGATAGAAAAATTAAGTGAAAATATTTTATTGTTAAGTTGCCTCAGGACAGAGAGAAAAATGTCAGAACATACAGTTCATGTAAGATGGAGGAGAGGCGGGCGAGTGAAGGCTAGAGACCGTGACGGATTATGACAAGCTTTGACCTGCTGCGTTGGGAATGGGTGAGTGGGTGCTTGTGCTCGGGAACACTTTGGGATAAAGCAACTTAATGGGCTCTCTCCAGACCCTCAAAACCCTAAGGATTATGCCTGAGCCTTCCTTCCTTTTCTCCTTGCCTCCTTCTCTCCCTGATTCCCTCCATTCATCCATTTATTCATTCACCCATAGGTTGACTTTTCCGTACTAGGACCTGTTCATACAAACATTTGACTGACTACCTGCTCTATGCCTGGCTCTGTTCAAGATGTGAGATAATAAAACAAGACTTCCTGCTTTAGAAATTTACATATAAAGAAAAAGAGAGAGATGAACACTGTAAAGCAAAACTGAGATGGAGAGAAGGATGACGTGGAGAAAAATTTCAGTTATTTACCTGGTATGTGTGTGGGCTGAGTTACTTCAGTCATGTCCAACTCCTTCCAACCCCACAGACTACAGCCCATCAGGCCGCTCTGGCCATGGGATTTCCCAGACAAGAACCGTGCAGTGAGTTATTTGACATCCAGGGGATCTTGCTGACCCAGAGATCACAGCTGCATCTCCTGCATTGGCAGGTGGGCTCTTCAGCACTAGGACCACCTGGGACGCCCTACCACTAGTACCCTTCTATGCTTTTGAGTTAAGAATATGTTGATGAAATACCTGTAGTAAGAAATTCTCTAGCCTACAAAGCCTCACCTCGTTGTGGTCTGTACAATAGATGACCTGGTAAGCTTGCATAGGATGGATCAGTCTCTCTGGAAATGGTAGCAAGAACTATGTTGAGAGTGCAAAAGGAGAGAAGATCATTTATATTTCCAAAATTCTTTTTATTTTTTAATTGCAAAAATAAAATTGTGTGTATGGTGGGGGTGGGGAGGCAGTATTTATTCTGAAAGGATAAAGAGGCAGATGCAGAGATATGCAAAAAAGCTGAATAAATAAATGAATAATTTGTTAACAGAATTCAATTTTTAATGATTTTTCTCAAAAAAAGAAAAAAAAAACCCAAACCTCAGAGCCCTAAGGAGAAGTGAGAACCAATGTGCAAACCCTGACTTCCTGCAAACCTCTTCCTTTACAAAAGGGAGACAATTGGGTCTGGGACCCTGAGTCCACAGATGAGACACCCTCAAATTACTCCCAGGCCATAACTGAATATCTCCAGTAGGGACTTCCCATTGGCACAATGGTAAGGAAACACAGGTGACCCAGATCCGATCAGCAAGATCCCCTGGAGTAGGAAATGGCAACCCACTCCAGTACTCTTGCCTGGAAGATTCCATAAACAGAGGAACCTAGTGGGCTACATTCCATGCAATGCACCCCACTCCAGTACTCTTGCCTGGAAAATCCCATGGACGGAGGAGCCTGGTAGGCTGCAGTCTGTGGGGTCGCTGGGAGTCGGACATGGCTGACCACTTCGCCTTCACTTTTCACTTTCATGCACAGGAGAAGGACATGGCAACCCACTCCAGTGTTCTTGCCTGGTAAAACCCAGGGACCGGGGATCCTAGTGGGCTGCCGTCTATGGGTTCCACAGAGTCAGACACGACTGAAGAAGCAGCAGTAGCACTGCATCTATAAAAACTAACAGCAGAGATTTACCCGGCAGTCCAGTGGTTAAAGACTTCATGCTGCCAGTGCAGGGGGCTGGAATCCATCCCTCATTGTGGAACTAAGATTCCACATGCTAGAGAAGAGGCCAAAAGTTCCAAAACAGACAAACAAAAAGCACCCCCCAAAGCCAGTGTTAAAAAAAATCCTAAAACAATGAAACAGTTCTTCATTGACATGATAGCAATCATGAGCTCAGTCTTCTTTGCACTTAGTTTTTCAGCAAAACTCTTCAGAAGGAGTGTCTGCAGCCCCTACTTCCTCTCATCATTCTCAGGGGGGTTGGTACCATCAAGTCTGGCTGGTCCCACCCCTCTCCCCCAGGATGACTCCTGCCAACAGGGATCACGAGGCATCCTGTGTGAGCTCACTCAGCCCTTCCTCTGCCCTTTTTTGACCTGCCCCTCATTGTGTGGCAATGGACAGGGGCTCTCCGGTGTCTCTGCCTGAGTGGATGGGCCGCAGTCCTCCTGAGAAGGGCAGAGGAGCCAACTGCAAGGTATTCACGAGAGAGAGAGAGACATCTGTGGCTGAAGAAAGGGTGGGAACAGATGCATAACATTTAGGGAGTCACTGTAAAGGATTGCTTTCCGTATAAGAGTACAAGAGAGAAATGTGGCCCAATACTTTTAGTTTATGCTTTCTTTTCTATTATTATGAAAGTACTCTTGCTAGGGCCAAGGAAATAAAACCCTCACAGCTATTCTGTAGAATTAGGTAAGACTTATTGAAACAGCTTACTGCAAACACTCATTCTATTTTTGGGTTGATGTCACTAAAATAAAATAGACCTCTACTTAGTGAAAGATTCTAATGCTGATCAAAAGATTAAAACTGAAAACATTTTATTGCTAAGTTGCCTCAGGACAGGGAGAAAAATGTCAGAACATACAGTTCATGTAAGATGGAGGAGAGACGGGTGAGTGAAGGCTAGAGACCATGACGGATTATGAGAAGCTTTGACCTGTTATGTTGGGAATGGGTGAGTGGGTGCTTGTTCTCGGGAACACTTTGGGATAAAGCAACTTAATGGGCTCTCTCCAGACCCTCAAAACCCTAAGGATTATGCCTGAGCCTTCCTTCCTTTTCTCCTTCCCTCCTTCTCTCCCTGATTCCCTCCATTCATCCATTTATTCCTTTATCCATAGGTTGACTATTCCATACTAGGATCTGTTCATACTAGGACCTCTTTACTGAGCTTTTAATGTCTTCTCCCAAATGTATTCCTCAAGCACTATTTACGGGATAAGTGTTTTTAGCCCTGTTGTACAGCTGGATTTAGAAATAAGGTAATTTCTTCAAAGTTGTGCAGGTTGTCTGTAGGGAGGACTTTAACTCAAGCCCAAGTGGGTTGATTCCAAAGACCATGTTTTTATTAAGTATTCAACAATCCCAAAAACAAATTTACTTACTGAATTACATAAACAACACATTTATAGATTTATTTATATATTTATATATATATAAATTTATATATTTGTTTCTCTATAAACAACAAATACTTTAGCTTGATGTGATCTCTGCATCACTTGGGACATACTTATCCTACCAGATTGTTTGTTGATCACCTGAAATCCAACCTAAACTGGGAGTCCTGCATTTTCCCTGCAGCCCTCCTCAGGGGACAGCATGCTTCAGGCTATGCTGTGGTGACAGCGCCTCCAGATCTTAGCATCTTAAAAGAGCCAAATTTGATTCTTGCTCAAATGACACCAACCTGTGAGGGCCCAGGTGCTCTGAGCAGACCCCACCCCTGAGGAGCAGCCACCACCGTGGGCACTGCTGGTCCTGGGTCCGAGGAAGGCACTCTCAGGACTCTCGGGCTGGTGATTAATGGCCCTAGCCCTGAAGGGAAATGTCAGACACCTTCCTGACTCACGAATTTGGTGGTTTTCAGAACGCAGTAAAGTATAAGCTGTGTTTGACCTGAGATGCCGCACTCCATCACAGGGCAAGGACACAGGACAGAGTCTCTGGAATGCAACCCACTTTCCCTCCCCTCCACACTACTTAAAAGTTGATTCCATTTCGGGCGTAACCATCCAGTCTCAGGGCATGACCCAGCCCCACTTTACACATAGATTCTGAATACACCAGCCTTGGACTGGACTGATGGGGCTCAGGCTCTCCCAGGACTTTAGGAAGAAGGCAAAAGCTTAGAAGACCACAGTGGGCACAGGTGAGCTCCCAGCTACATGCCCCAGGACTGCATCCAGGAGTGGGCAGGTCTTTCCCGTCTCAGACAGCCAGTCATGAGCCAGCCCTACATGAGCACCCAGAGCTCAGAGGCATCAGAACAGCCCTGTGCTCACATGAGGCTCTGAGTGTCCCTGAGGTTTGTAATTAACTCCTGGGGGGAATGGGCGTGGTCTGCTTTGTAAGGGACCTTGGCATGAAGCTGAAGGAAATACATCATATTGTCATCCCTGTAATATTACAGGAATTGCAGCTGCTGAATGCTGGACCTGGAGCCTTTATAAAGTGAGCAAGCACATCGTCCTGTCCAGTCTCAGCTGGGAAGCCAGCCAGCCATGACGGTCTACTACCTTCTCTTTGCGTTGCTCTTCTTGTTCTTGCTGCCTGTTTCAGCACTGGGAAATGACAGGGCTGAATGGATTGAGAATTTGTCATTCAGAGTCAGCCCTCTCCATTCATTTGGGTATTTTAGATAAAGAAGATTTATTACTTGGGAACTAGACATTACCAGTTTTTCTCTCTTTTTTTTTCTTGACAAAGACCATCAGGAACCTCAAAGTAGGGTGTCCATCCCTTCTGATTCACTCTTAAGAGACTAATCAGCTCACAATCCATCCCTCCATGGGAGGATTGTTATACCTGTTCATGAGACAGGAAGAAAGTGATATAAATCTTTATTTATTTTATGTGTAAATCTTTAATACCAACAGGAAAATGAACTTAATCTGAGGACAGAAGCACAGGTTCCCTTTTATTAGCTTAGCGGTTGGAGGTACAGTCTTTTAGTCTCTTAAGGACCCGGGGGACCATCGTGGGCCCTGCCTCCCAGGTGTCAGTTCACAAGGGGGCTGCCACGGTCAGGCCACTTTCTCAGCTGAGCCGAACCCACAGATGCATCGTTGGTTGCTAGCCCCACCTTCTTCTTTACTCCAGATAGTATAGAAAAAGGAAAAAGACATAAAAGAACAAAAAACGGCAATGTATAACTTACTAGAGGGATTCCAAACGCCCTGGACTTGTACCGCGGCCTTCCTAAAGCCTTCCATGCTCTCGTTTCTTCACCACAGGCAACAGCGGAATCATAAGCGGGTTACAAAAGTATTACTGCCAAAGAAGGAGCGGCCGGTGTGCTCTGATCGGCTGCCTTCCAAAGGAGGAACAGATAGGCCGCTGTGCCCTCAGTGTCCGAAAATGCTGACGGAAAAAGAAATAAAAATCCAGCATCACGAGGAGAACGTTGCACAGTGTGAAAATGCCTCCTTGAAGACTCGAGAAGCCAATTCAAATTAAAGACTTTCTACAAAAAATTAGAAGCTTATTATCATGATTATTTTTCAACATTCTGTTTATTGTGCTAGTTGTTACCAAATAGGCAACTTAGAAAGTGTTAATGACTCATCTTTAATTCAAATAAAGTATAATCCCTAGAGGAAGCCACACGAGGGTCTCAGCTGGTGTTCCAAAGATTGTCAGAATTTATTCCTCTTTCACAACGTTCACCCCACAATGAGGCTGGACCACTTGTTCTTTCTGAAACACTTCCTTAGACTTCTGTCACCCATCTGAGCTGTGCAGTCTGTCCATCTGTCATGGCATCTCCCCAGCAAATCCATCTCTGAAACTGCAGGGCTTCCCTGAGGGTCTCCCAGGTCCTCTGACACTTTCCAGCTCAGAGACACGGGGACCTGGCTTCTCCTCCACCTTGCCTTCAGCTTTCCTCTCACTCTTGCCTCTGTTCTGACTGACCTCAGGCCTGGATAAAATCTCTCCTCCAGCTATGTCTCCAAACCCATCTCTCAGGGGCACCTCAAATTCTACCGCCTTCTTAAAGACACACATTTGTTTCCCCAACAAATATGATCATTCCTTTGAAAAGGGTTCTGATCTGAGTGCTCCATCTCTGAGTCCTGCTTGATTTTTACATTCACTACATTTGCTTATTTCCAATCTCCATGTTTGGTTGCAGGATTTTGAAGGGCAGTTTATCATTTAATCACTCCTGGCCCAAGTGTTTTGGCACAAAAGCTGCTCAACAAGTGTTTATTGTGACCCCATGGACGGGGCCCCACCAGGCTCCTCTGTCCATAAGATTCTTCAGGCAAAAATACTGGAGTGGGTTGCCATGTCCTCCTTTATGTGAGCTGAAGTACATTCCAAGGCCCTGTAACTATTCAGTGTTCTCTGGAGGTTGATACAGAATGATTCCAGCAAATGTGGTGGGAGGCCCATCACCCCCAACTAGAGCCCCCAGTCAAGGAACTAAGTTCTCAGGAAGAGAGGGCAGACACTCAAAGACAGGAGCTTGGACCCCACAATTCAGCATAAAAAAAAAAAAAACATGATGTGATGGGACTGTATGCTGCCCTTCTACAGTACACAACTAAGGAACCAAGCAAAACCTATGAAACCACTGATTCAGACTCTGGCACAAACAATGCAGGACCGTAATCGAGGATAGCAGAAAACAGGTGAGGTGAGGGACTTCCCTGGCAGTCTCTCGGCTGGGATCCTGTGCTCCCAATGCAGGGGGCCTGGGTCCACCCCTGGTCAGGGAACTAGATCCCACAAGCTGCAACTAGATTCTGACTGTCATGATTAAGGTCCAAGGCAGCCAAATTAATGAATTTGCTAATTAAATTGTAAAAATGTCTGTGCTCAACCATTTATAAAAACAGAAAAGAAAAAAAGTGAAGTGAGACTTATGGCATCTCCAGCCTCTACAGATTTCCAGGCTTAAAGCATAGGGAACAAGAACCTAAACAGGCCAACAATTCTCCTGAGTCGAAGATAGTGGGGTCAAAGTTCAGAGAGTGCAGACATCTTCATTTCTGGACAGAAAACCAGCAACAGGTGTCAGGATCAAGGCTGTGTGCCTATGTGCTAAGTCGCTTCAGTTGTGTCTGACTCTTTGCCCTCTGTGGACTGTTGGAGTTGCTGAAATAATAGGGGAAAACTGTGGTTTTCATTCGATTCTAAAACTGCTCTAAAAAATGAAGTCTATGATCCTAGGTGGAATTTTAGTTCAGCCTTATGGAATAAACTGTGATGCTAAGATTCTAGACAGTCTCTTAAGGAAAGAGATGATCATTTCAGTAAAAAAAAAAACAAACAAGAAAAGCAAGAATCAGATATTAATTATCTATTAAAAAGCCCACTTGAGATATCAAATATAAAGGCAAATGGATTAAAAATGAAAGGATGGAAACAGATATGCTGCTGCTGTTGTTTAGACGCCCAGTCGTGTCCAACACTCTCGTGACCCCTATGGAATCATCCAGGCAAGGTCACTGCTGGGCGTTGCCATACCCTCCTCCAGGGAATCTCCCCCTCCCAGGAATCAAAACCATGTCTCTGCATCTCCTGCATCTCAGGCAGATTCTTCACTGTTGAGCCAACAGATATGCTATGGAAACATTAATTTAAAGAAAACACAGGAGGCTGTATTGGTTAATTGACAGGCTTCCTGGTGGCTCAGATGGTAAAGAATCTACCTACCATGTGGGAGACCTGGGTTCGATTCCTGGTTTGGGAAGATGCCCTGGAGGAGGGGATGGCAACCCACTCCAGTGTTCTTCCCTGGAGAATCCCCATGGACAGAGGAGCCTGGCAGGCTACAGTCTATGGGGTCACAAAGGGTCAGACACTACTGAGTGATTAAGCATGGGACACAGTGAAGTAACTTCTAGGACAAGGACCAGATATAGAGAGGGGTATTTATCCTAATGATAAAATGTGTAAGTCATCAAGAATACATATGAATACTGAATCAGAATGTACTTAACAAAGGAAGTTTAAAATTCTTAAAGAAAACTTATAGGAATAAGCAGAGAAACAGACAAATTAGCAATTCCAACTGGAATTTCCCTGGCAATCCAGTGGTTCAGATCCCTAGCGTTCAATGTAGGGGGCACAAGTTCCGTCCCTGGTTGAGCAAGTAAGATCTCTTCTATACAAAATTAAACACAAGATAGATTAAAGGTTTACAAAAACCACACAACTCCTAAAAGAAAGCATAGGAGAAAAATTCTTTGGCATGGGTCTCCACAAGGATGGTTTTGAGCTTGACACCAAAAGCACAAGCCCCAATAACACACCTAGACTGTAGGATCCATCAAACTGAAAGCTTCTGCACAGCACAGGAAACAATGAACAACCTGAAAAGACGGGGTTCTTTTAACGCTCCAGGGATCTCTGAGGCTGGAGGAGACTGTAGCTATGTTGAGGGCAAGAGAGTGGGGTAAGAGAGGATGGTCACATCCCAGGTCATGTCTGAGTCCCTGGGATGGCCGCCAAGTGTGGGTACTTGGCTTCGCATAGGCAGGAAATAGGAATGAGACAAAGTGAAGTGAAAGAAGGTCAATCCAGGGAGGAAACACTCTAAACAGAGAGTGTGGGCCATCCTGGAAGGCAAGCCCAGCACCAGGGTATGGGGCTGTCAGTGTTTATAGGGGGGTCATTTCATAGGCTGATGAGTGGGAGGAGTGTGCCAGCTATTTTGTGGAAAGAGTGGGGATTTCCAGGAACTGGGTCAGCACCCACTTTTTGGCCTTTGTGGTCAGCCTTGGAAGTGTCATGGTGCCTCTGCCTATGTCACCTATTTGCCATGTTTCAAAGGGATTTAAAAATATATATTTACTTCAGGTCTTAGTTGTGGTATGCAGGATATTCATCTCAGCACGCTGGCTTTGATGCCCCATGGCACGGCAAGTGAAGGAAATGGCAACCCACTCCAGTAATCTTGCCTGGAAAATTCCATGGACGAAGGAGCCTGGTGGGCCAATGTCCATGGAGTTGCAAACAGTCGGACACGACTGAGAGACCTCACTTTCTTTCTTTCACGTGGAATCCTAGTTCCCAGGTCACAGACTGAACCCACATCCCCTGCGTTGCAAGACAGATTCTGAACAACTGGACCATCAGGGAAATCCGTGTCATTCTTTTAACGGTTGTGCTCGCCCACTTCCGGTCTCATCAGCACCTGATAGCTGGCCTTTGACAGCACTATGCTAGCTTTCACCTTACAGGAGAATGCCCTGGTGAAGTTCTCAGGACCCTGTGCTGACTGTAGGCAGCACGCCGGACCCTGTGAAGGGAGGGTGATTTGCTCCAATTTACACCACTGCCACTTAGCATGCTGAGGCCTTGGACACAACTTTTTGTTGGATTTGCAGCCAATTTTAATTGACTTTTTCAGTCAGTTTTACCTGTGCCCTCAGACATGGCTTTCTAGTCCTCAGGACAATCATGTGTAAAACTTGGGTCATACCTACCTGGCAGGTTTGTTTAGGGGAACTCAAAGAGATAACTTGAATACAAGTGGCCAGCTACTGAGCAAGGCTCATTGCAAAATATGATTGTGGGACAAGTTCAAAGAAAAAACTGCTAAAAGTGTCAGTGGGGGAGCACAGCATTAGACCCAGCCCTAGCCCCCTTCTGAGGACAGGAGCGACCGGGCTGTGACCCGGGTGACCATCAGAAGCCATGGCACCCACCCCATCCACAGGAGAAGGGAACTGGGAACAATGGCCTCTGCCCATTAACACCCGGGGCTCCATGCTGACAACACCTGAGTTTGTGGAGTCAAAGATTGGAAGAAGGGCTTTGCTCTTCAAAACTTATCTGTAGGACTGGGACACCCCTTCTTGCCTGAGGAAGTGATGCAGTCTCCTGGAAAGGCACTGCCTCAATTTCCTACTCACAGGTTAAAGGTTTGGGGACACAGCATTTATCTTCCCTTTAAAGAATGAAGCCCTGAGTTAGCTCTCAGCCCAGGCATGAAGCAACCATGATCCACATGGCGTTGTTTGGCTTTGAACCTGTGAAAACTAATAATCCATTTAGACTTTACCTAAGATTAACCCTTCGTTCTCTCCTATATTAACTCATCTCTGGTTTCTGGTGAGCCACCCCATGGTTTCTTGGGTGTCTGAACTCCTTGCTGAAGCAGCAGGACCCTTCCCTGATGGACAGAGATGCCCCTGGGCTTTATCTCTAGATAAACAGCTCTGCAAAGGAGTCATCTTTAGATCCTGCCTAGGAAAAATAAGCCACTGCAATTGGAGAATTCCTACAAGGGCCATGTCCCACTAGTGAGGATCTGTGGCAAGAAACTCTCTTGAAACTCAACATGGCACCCTGCAAGCCTTTTGGAAATTTCCTTCTATGAAAACTCATGCCCGGTCTTACACATAAAACTGCATTATCTTCCTTAAACTACATCTTCCTTAAAAGAAAAAAAAATCTGCTGTGCTGCAAACCACCGATCATTAAAACA